CGATGTATAGGACGCTAAGGAAGAGTTCTGCGCTTCACGCACCTCAAAAATATGAACGTTGGTCTCCGTAGGGCCTAACTACTCCGGGAGGCTTTAACTCTCTCGCTAGGTCGAACGATACGGCGCACGGCCACCGGACGGGTGGTGTTCGAAAGAGGGCCCCCTGGGTTACATTTGATGTGAATATGACTCACCTGTGCAGCGCGCGGCCACCGCTACAGCCGTCCGCGAGCCGCCGCCCCGCTCGGACCCCGCGCGGGCCTAAATCTTTAACGCCGATGCGCGGTGGGTTCCCGACATCGCAGAGCGCCCGGACAAAGTCCACCGTAACCAGCATCGTTTTGTCTTATAGAAAAACCACCGATGAGCAAAATCCGAGTCCTGACCCTCGATTTTGGGCCAAGCTACCGGGCGCGCCAGTGAAAGTTATTTCAATAACTCTGAGTTATTGTAATAACTCCTACTTATTGTTACAACTTATTGTTGTTCAAGAACTTGAACCCTACTGCAGGAACTACTTTTTCTAGTATCTATTAAAGTTTGAAACGCAACTCTTCGCGTCGGACAAGTGAAACGAGCCCTTTCCCTGTTATTGTAATACTTTATTTATTTAATATATTTACTTAAATGCGGCTGTCGGACAAATAACTTGTCGGACAAACAGGGCGTCCCCTTTATCGCACAAATGGTGATAGTTCAAATATTTTAGGCCAGCAGGTTTTTGTTTGGTTTTCTTGCTGTCTTTGCTGTTTTGTGTGTTTGTGAAATGTTTTAAATCTATTAGTTTTATCGTTGGGATTATTTGGACCACTCCAATCGCAGTAACTATTTCAAGAGCCTTTCCCAAGCAATAATTCTTTCAGCACTCAGAACACTTTGTTATCCCTTCAACTGAGCATGTTGTCCTATACTACGTTTCAAAGATATTCTTTACTTGATCAATGAACTATTACCAAGTTATGCCTCCATAACTTTTGCATTTCTAATATGCTTCTTTTCCATTATCTTTTCTTTTAAATGTTACTTTAGAAAAAAACTAATGTTTTATTCAAGTCATGTTAGGCTATTATCTTACAGCTTCATCATAGCCGCTGGCATGATTGTTTCTGGAATTGCTACTTGTGTAGGTGTAACAGTATTAAGTATGTGATGAATTCCGCTGATTTTTTAAGTGAAGTAGGATCAGATTTTACAAATTTTACTGATTTTATTTTTCTAATAATTTCTTCTTTGTAGCTGCAAAACCCAGGTTGCATGCCAAGTCAACCATGCATGCAAGATGAGGATGAGTGATCTCTAAGAATGATTTGGTTGTTTGCTCATAGCTGTTATCTGTTAGGGAATTGTTTTAAAATTACATTCTTCATAAAAACTCCCAATTTCCATACCAGATTTTGTATTTGTTTCTCTTAATAATGTTAAAGTATGCAAAACATTATTACCATTTAATTTATCATGCTCTGCATTCAATTGCTTTCAATGCTGAAAACATGCAGTCACCTCACATGTACTTTACTTAAACAGTGATCAGTCAATATGGAGGAGGGAATTGTGAAAATACTGTTCAGGTTGACTTTGGGAGATTGAGAATGTAGATTCCCTTTCTTCTCTTAAGTATTCCTATGGAATATTTAAATGATTGAGGGTAGACAGTACTTCAGTTTTTGTTTCTCATACAACCTTTGTGTTTTGTTGTATTTTACAGTGATGGAAGGTACTTGCTGGTACTATCGTAACGGCGCTACATACTTTATGACCTAAGTTCCACCTCTATCCTTCCCTCTTCGCATCGGCCACAATAGGTCACAACACATTCACTTTACGGAGAGTAAGTGTTGTGGTCTTTGATTGTGTATATGGTAAGACAAGTTTGTTTCAAGTGTTCAGGAGTAATTTCCTGCAATAAGCAATACCTAGTGTGTTCTGTTCTTTTTTTGCTCAAGTCAGCACTGTTAGGCCAGTTCTGTATCTCAATGTTTAAAAAGGCATGGTTCACAAGCAAATTTATTCTATTTAATTCAAACTTGAAGAGGTAGTCATCACCGTAGCTTTCCAAACCCACCAATCTGAGTAGCGCATTTTATTGCAGTGTTATATTCCTCTTTTTATTTTGTGACAGTGCAGTGAAAAATTTTCCTAGCTGATCCCATTTAAGCTACAATTTAGAAAGACTGAGGTGCCTGTGTGCTTTCAACAAATCATATTTGGGGTGTGCAGGTTCCTCAGTGACCTGCTTGGAAGTATAATAAATTGTGGATCATGTAAATACCTACTTTTAAATTACCTAGATCAGTATGGGAAACAGGCGCTTTTCAATTTTGGTTTGGTTTGACCTTTTTTGTTTTTGGGAAAATGCATATGTAGTATGCAAATTAAAGTATATTTGAGCAGTTTTTTGTTTTAAATTATTGTTTTTGTATGGCTTGCAGTTTAGTTCCTTTTTTTTTTACCTTTTTTGAGTGAGGTTGTTTGGTCTCTTAGCTTGTCTTACCATATGCAAACTTGTGGTTGTACTGTCCTCTTCATTCTCCCCAAATCTTCTTTTATCAAATTTTATTTTGAAAATTTGGCCTAGTAAAAGAATGAGTTTAGCTTACACAAAGAATTATTGTCATCTGAACTTAGTAGTATCTCAGTGTGGAGGTAGTTTCAATGAGTCTCAATCAGTTGCCTTCAGAATTTCTTGTTTTTAAATCATTTTTTGTATTAAATGAACATAGACTGATGACGTCATTGTTTTTTAAAGTACAGTAATAAGCTCAATAAAATCTTCAAAACTTTGCTAGTCCAGATTAAGGTCTCTTTTCATCAATTACCTGTACTATAATCAGGTATTGAAGATAAACTTTTTACTTCTTTCTACTTGTGTTTATGAGTGTGAACTGCATTGAATTCAAACATCGTAATCTGGTTCATAGTACCTCCCTTCAATTTTACTGAGCGCTGTGAAGAAAATAAGTATATTTATTGCTTTTTTATCCATTAGCAAACAGGTAGAATGTTGTTGTTTACAGATTTTGTTTGTTTGTTAGTGTTAAATGGATTTCATCCTTTGGCTGTGGACATTTACTATTTCATTTGTCCATTTGTAATGTCGTGCATGAGAAAGTGACGTTTTCCTTAAGCATTGTTTTAATATTTTTATTTCGTTTGGTTGTTGATTGATTGAGTTGTTTGGTATTAAAAATTGTATTGTTGCTGGAAGTACGGCTTTTAAGTCTACTTGGCCTAAGTTTGTTCAACATTTGGGCTTCTTAGCCTCTTGACGTAATTAGTACAAATTTCTGCACTTAAAGGAATGTGGTATGTGGGAAAATTAGTACATCATTTTGCACTCAGTGCTTTTTGCCAGTGTTTGAAGATATGTAGTTCGCTATGCCAGTTTCACTGCCAGTGATATGATTTTCTTATCTTAAGATCTTTGCCTCTTGAAGGCTTTGTTTCCTGTAGCTTGCACTCAGCTCTCAAGTCAGAAATGCTCACCCAATTTTCAAAATGTTATCTTTGCAGTTTGGGTTGATTTATGTCCCTGATAGTGCTGATTTAAATTGTGATTTGGTTTCAAATAATTGCTCAGAAAGAGTATTTCTCTGGATCGTGAGGTATATTTAGGTACATGTAAGTTACCTAATACATTCAGTATTCTATTGCATAGTAGCAGTAGTTTTTCCTGTTGCCAAAATAAGAATGGTGTGGTGGTATCATTCATCTCTGATTTGTCTTTCATCATGAATGTTGTGGTTTTATTTTATAGTTATCTGAAGAAGCCTATGGCGTCTCCACTATTGTATTGTGAGATGAAGGAGGATGTGCCAAAGATATTTTATAGTTAGTTTTATTTATTGTTAACGAGCCTCTATTCTGTCCTGATTTTGTAGACCATTTCATGGCAATCTTGATACCTTTGAGAAATCGAGGGGGAACAGCCACTCTTCCATGGTGCATTCTTTCATCATGTATGCAGTACGTTTCTTAACTTCTATCTAAAATCCCCACTCCCCACTTGTTTTCGAGACCCCTTGTTTTCTCAGATCTGAAGGCTAACAGAGACTATTCAAGGCTTCTTCTTCCTCTTACTGTCTTCTGATCTTGCAGTTTTGATTTCTGTTTATGAGCTTTATCAGTGAAGCTCATTTCATTCGACAATACAACTTTGAATCACTTTCAATCTGTTGTTTTTCCTGATGTTCTATCCTTGTGTAATGTTACTCCAACCAATCATCCTCTTGTAAATATTTCCTCCCTGTTACCTTTTCTCTGTTCTTTGTTAATTTTGTTAAAAAAGTTATTGCCCTTGACTTCAGTATTATGTCTAGTATAATTATTTGTATTGTGAGGCTAGTTAGATTCAAAGGAACAAGAATAGTAAGTTTTTACAAATTGTGTGTGTGTTGTGACTGTGGTTCAAATGTTATGACATCTTGCTTTGAAAAAAATTTATTTACTCCTTTCTAGAGGAAGTTCAATTTAAAAATAATGAAAAATAAAATAAAAGTTATTGAATTTGCATTTTGACAAAAGTGCAAAAGTGACATTTGGTGTGTAAGAGCTTCAAATTAGAAATTGAAGTTACAGTATGTCTCAGTAAACTTTATTCCACTTTTCTACTTTTATGCATCCTTGCGTTTTAATAAGGATAATGCTCATTTCCTACAAAGGAAGTTTTTGTTCGCTCACAATATTTTGCTAATATGTGCTCCAGTGTTGCAAAGGTAGGTATATTTAAAATCATTGGTAAATGTCGTTTACCACAATTTTTATCAGTGTTTGTGGCCCATATTTGCCATTTTGCCCTCAATTTCTGGAGTAAGAACCAAAGCCTTATGGGAGCCTAAAATTGTCTCACTATGCCTCACAAAATAATTCCTGTGTTCACATGATCTTTCTTTGTTTTTGTTATATTTTGTGGTTGTGTATTAAGCTGCATTCGTGAAAGTGAGTGTGATACAATTCACTGTTACATTTTAAGTTTTCTATGGTATCTATTCAAATTCAGGATGTCATTGATGTTAAACTTAGACTGTATGTTGAGAAAATAAATTAATTTTTACAAATGGAAATGGTTGAACTTTTACCACACTACTTTCTTTTTGGTTTGTAGTATTAGGTCTATCATTTTTGTGTTGGTTTTGTTTCTGTTTATCTTTTCTCTATGATTTTATGACAAAAATTTTTTCGTGCATTTCCCCTCCTTACCTCAGAACACATGTTGATTTGTTCTAAAATCAATTCCCTGTTTTGTTATTCCCACATCTTTATTATTCATTATTGCAGCATTAAGTGGTCATTGATCATGTACTCTTATGAGAAGTGAGTAACATACAAAATACCTTATAGATATTTTTATTCTCGTTGACCTGCATGCTAAGCTCATTTAAATATGCCTCCTTGACTTATTATTGTTTTTGGTTTGCCATGTTTTTTATAGTACTGTATTTTCATTATTTTGAAACAGACATTCAACAGCATTGCAGTAATGATAGTACGCAGCTGAAAGTTTTTCTTCTGAAAGTGTTTATTTTTATTTTGTGACCTTAAAATCTACACCTCTTAGGCATTTTTAGTGTTATCATTTTTTTAGCCAAGCAAGCTTTTATGTTAATTTATGTTCTTGGTGCTATTTATTTGGTTCCTGCCTTTATGTTAATCTGCTTCATTGTACCTGTTCTATTCTATGAGTTTTTAGTCTCTTTTGTGCAAGACAACTTTGTTTCCCAAAGCACCTTTCCTGACATAATTTAATTCTAGCATGACCCTTTATATTTTATTGGTGAACATCTTGGTGATAAATAGGAAAGTGGTTCTTAATTTTGTTTATTTTATGTTTCAGAAAAAGATGTTGTAACTCCAACTGCTCCAGATATACCACCTCTGCCTACCTCAGACCTGGACTTCAAGAAGGACTCTGGCAAACTAATCACCAATGGCAATAATGTTCTCGATAATCAAAGGTTGGTTTTGATTTAAACCCATTGAATGTAGTTTGAGAATATTCAAAACAATCTAGTAATTTTTGTTGGTTTCTTATGTTTAGTATTATTTCTCAAGACCTCAAATCTCCGTCTCTTAGCCCAATCAAGCCTAATCAAGATGAAGTGGACAATCGTAATGGCTTAGCAGAAACTGAAACAAACATTAAGAAAAAGGTAGACTGGATGACCAATGACAGAACTTCGTGATCAAACTTTTTTTAAAAACCTATGTTTTACGGAGTTATCTATATTTTCAGAGACATACTACAGATCGAGCATACTTTATTGCTAAAGAAATGCTGATGACAGAGCGTACATACAAGAAAGACCTTAGTGTCATTAATGTGGTGAGTGGGCATCATAAGTATCCTTGCGTCAGGTCAAGGTATCTATGTACATTGAAAATTAATTTGTGAAGATCCATTTTCTTTACATTTATGATATGATACCATTACAGTGGTTCCGAGATGAAGTCGAAAAAGAAGACAATATGCCAACAGAGGTTCTGAACACACTCTTCTCTCTCATTGACCCTATATATGACCTTCACTTGAGAATTTTGAGGGATGTTGAGCAGCGAGTTACAACTTGGGAAAACTGTTTGGATGTCCAACAGCAGCACATGGGCTGCATTCTTCTAACCAACATGGATTTGATTTTGGTAAATTACTCATTAGTTTAGTAAATCTGGTCTTGGCTTTACTTTTGTCTCTTTTTAATTTGCCTCGTCTTTGCCATCATTAGCAACTATATGGTCGTTATTTGGATGAACACTACTCTGTACTGGAGAGCTTGGATTATGCTTTCCGTAAAAATACAAACTTTGAGCAAGTTTATCGCGACTTTGAACTACAGAAAGTATGTTATCTTCCTCTTACTGCGTTTATTTTGAAACCTCTCCAGCGACTCCTACATTATGAAACATTGCTGGAACGTGAGTATATCTCTCTGTACTTTGGCTGCTGCTTTTTCCTAGGAAACTTCCTATGGCTTTTATTTTTTCCATTGTTTTGATAACAATTTTTTCATGTGTACTTCACAGGCCTCATCCGTCACTATGGAACGCAGCATTCTGATTATCAGGATTGTTTACTTGCAAAACAACAACTTGGTACTATACTTCAAAGTGTACCTGACCTTCTGAAGAGCTCTGTTAGTATAACACTATTTTAAAATTATTGCGGTTTTAATTCTGAATCCTCCCAGGCAAACTCTTTATCCAACTTTTGCCCCTTAGGAAAACTTAGTTCAACTTTGTGAGCTCCAGAGGGAAACAGTTGGTTTTGACTGTCTTGTGCAGACCAACAGGGAGTTTTTGCGTCAAGGCTGTTTATTAAAACATTCCCGAAAGGGATATCAGCAAAGAATGTTTTTCTTAGTATGTATTCGTCTGGATTGATATTGTGTTTGATTTTTTATCTTCCTTTCTATCCTATAGAGCTCTAATGATCTGTTTTGGTTGGCAGTTTTCTGATGTGCTCCTATACACAAATCGTCTTCAGTACCCAAGCCTGCATTTCAAAGTGCATGGTCTCATGCCCTTGAGAGGAGTCATGGTGGAAGAAGCGGAGTACAAAATGGGTGCTAACTACTGCTTTACCATTTATGGTGGCAATAGGTCAGTGTAACAATACTCAATTCATTACTTTTCGAGTGAAGGGGTTCCAAATACCTATGTAACAGCTCCATATGTTGCGCGGAAAGTTATAATATAATTTTTAATTTTGCTCCAATCTTCAGGGCCTTAACTGTTGCTGCAAGCAGTCAGGAAGAGAAAGATAAATGGCTTGAAGACTTAAAATCAGCGATTCAAAATGTTAGAGACTGCAGTGAAGATAAGCTGCAGTATTTAAGCTTAAAGTCTTGTAGTAAGTAATTCACACTACCTTCTCTTACCTAAAGTTCAAAAATGTAAAGAAAGTCATAAATTTAAAACTGTAAAATATCATATGATGACCTAATAGTTTTTGCAACTTGTAGGCTCATCTGATGAAATCATTGATAAATGTGGAGAAATGAACATTGACCGTGACAAAGTGGCTCCGTCTCCTCAGCGAAGCAACACTACAGTTCAAGTTTGTTGGCATCGAAACACAAGCATTAGCATGAGTGATCAGCTTCGTGGAGTAGAGGTTAGTTTAAAGTTCTTTTTCAGTTCAGAGCCATTACTTTTAATTTTTTTTAGCTTTAGAGAGCTAATATTATATTACATAAATAACCTCTGTTGACTACCAACAAATCTCATCTGTCTTTCCTATTTTTTTCCAGAATCAGCTCAGTGGATTCCTGCTAAGAAAATTCAAAAACAGCAATGGATGGCAAAAATTGTGGGTTGTATTTACTAGTTTTTGCCTATTTTTCTACAAATCTTTCCAGGTATTTGATTATTCATATACTTAAATTAACGTTTTTGCCTTTTAATAATTAAATAATTAATGTTCCTGCTTAATTACTAGGATGATTCACCTTTGGCAAGTCTTCCTTTGTTGGGATATACCGTGAGCCCACCATCAGAGAGTGATGGTATTTATAAAGATTACGTGTTCAAATTACAATTCAAGAATCATGTCTACTTCTTTAGGGCTGAAAGCAAGTACACATTCAGCCGGTGGATGGAAGTTATTAGTAGTGCAACGCAACACTCAGGACGAATGCGCTTGTTCAGTCGTAAAGACAGTGCCTTTGAACGAACTTGATGCTTTATTGAATTTTCCTAAACGCTGACTTTGAATGTGTTGGGAAATAGTTCCTAAAAAGCAAACTGAAACTTTTAAATTTTTTTTTTGTAAAATTGGTGCTCAGTCCAATTTTACATCTCTAACCCACAGGATTTCAAAAGTTTGCATTTAATGATTTATTTTGCATTTGTGACTCTTTGTAAAGATTTTACTTAAGGGACCATATTTATTGACGGGTACAATTTTTTACATTTACACCCTTTATGTATCTTGTTGGGACTTTTTCACATACTTTGATTAGTTAAAGTTTTTATTACATAAAATTTCTCTTGATTTGAAGTGATACTTCATTAACTTCTTGTGAAGTATGTATTGTGTATGTACTCAAGTTTGAAATTACTGTTTGGGGAAATTGTACTTTTTGCACATGCACACTTTTTGTCATTCCACCTTTATATACTGGCAGCTATCTTGTCTAATCTCTCACTCTCCCCCTCTCTCCTTCTCTCTTTGTCTAACAATTTAATCTATAGGATGGTCATACTTCAGTTTTTGTTTTTCTCAGAGGAAATATCAACTGTATTCTTATGTTATAGGTACCAAAATAATTAATCAGACTTTGCTGTTAGAGATCATTTAAGATAGCAAAGCCATTTTAAAAATGTGACTGCCTGTTTAGCTGTCCTGCCTTGTAGCTAGTCGTTTTGAGCTTTTTTTATTCCGAGTTTTTTTTTGGTTCTTTATTACGTGGATGTTACTTCTTTTACAGAATAGGATTGCATTTAATAGTAACCAGAAAAGACAATACTTTGTGTTAGTCCTTGTTGTCTATAAATATATATCTTGGAGGTTTTGGTATACATTGTATTGTTTATAGTTATATTATTTCAAATTGTTGTTATCAATTGTTGCATAATGTTATTGAGTGTTTTATTGAAGTGTACTGATCTGTCCAAAGCAGTCCCCATATAGATCAATAAAATTGATTTATTTCTCATTTGGCTCATACTTTCATAATTTATCCCATGCGCAAGTCAATAAAACAGGATGTGGGGTTGCACCCTTGTATGCACCTAGCAATCCTGTCTCCTAATTTTCAACATCTTTTGTTTTCATCTCTTATTTTTTAATTGTAGCAAATAAATTAATATACGAAGTACCTTCGACAAGAGACAGGAGAGTAATACTTGGGCATCCTTGTGAGGTTTTCTTATTTTCTTGGAGTCTCTTCACAGGACCGCAGCAGTTCAACCCACCGTGACGTTAGTGGAGCCGTCTGAAACAGTCATTTTCTGTATCAGGCAGAGAGACGCGAGGTGGAGTACCTCGCGTGGAGAGTTGACCTCGGGGAGGGGAGGCAGGCAGCCCCTGTCAGCTACATTCAGAGCATATAGAACTCTCGCCCACGCCACGCTCAGCAACTGCGTGAGCGTGAACTTGCAGGGGAGGGGAGCGGGGGAGCGGGTGGGAGATGTGTGTGTTCCGCCAGGCTGCGCCAAGCGTGGCGTGAGCGTAAGTTTTTTGGTTGAAGATTCTTACTGGCGTGCAGCTTCCGCCTGCGCGATGGCTTCGGAGCTCGCGGGCGTTGAGGGCGCGGGGCGCGCTGCTGGGGCTGGCCCGAGGGCTGGCCGCCGCCACTGCCGAGCCTCCCCGCCACCTCCGCCAGGATGGTGATGATGGCCTCGAATGTCTCCTCCCCGGTGTCGACGATGGCCGACGCGCGGACGTAGCGCTCCGCCTGGACGGGGTTGCGCAGCTCCATGGCGAAGGCGTACTTGATGCCGATGGAGTAGGCCCAGTCGACGCTGTTGCCGGGGGCCATGTCTGTGGCCGCGGCCGCGAGTCAAGAGGGTGGTGGGAGCGGAGGTGCGCGAGCTCACCCCCTTTGCACTTGTTGTACTACTCACAGATGGTTGTTGAAATTGGACCGACTACGAATTTAGTGCCGTGTACGCGCTCCAAAGCGTTGGCCGCCCGAGTGCCTATCTCCATCTGCGAGTGTTAAAGGGGTGGGGGAAGGTCAGAGTTTGAGGTCGACTTGTGCCCTAATAAACTCCCCCCCCCTCCCTACCAACTCGTCGTGGTCGGCGCTCGGCTCCGTGCAGCATCCCCACGGGAAGAGGATCATCTGCTTGGACGAGTGCAGGCTGATGTACACCTTGAGGGAGGGGCGAAGCGCGCGCACGTAGTCGGCCAGCGCGCGCGTCTCCGGTTCGCTCAGCGGCGCGCGCCCGGGGAAGTTCCGCGCGCAGGGGTGGCGCGTCGTGGAGCTGCCCGCTGTGAGGTGAGTGAGGTGGGGGTAATCACGGAGGACTCTGGTGGTAGAGTATACCCCGGCATCTGTTGGGGGTGCGGCTTACGTGTCCAGCCGTACGGCCAGTTCCGGTTACCGTCGACGCCGAAGCACACGAGCCCCTTACTGCGGGTCTTCCTCCAGCTCCGGTTCTAACAGCGAGCAGGGACTTTTCTTTACATTCTACAGGGTGACAGCGCGCAAGCAGTCAACAACGGCGCCGACGCGCGTGTATGCGGTCCTGTGTTAGGGCTACGGCACATCAGTGATACGGATTTGTCTACTCCAGGGGCCGTGGTGCCTTACAGGCAACGGCAGGCTTGAGCTGCGTCCAGACAAGAGGGTCGCTTGGGTCGTTGAGCCAATGTATGCGAGAGAAATAAGTCAGATCCTTTAACCTTTATCGGCACACCGCAGCACTGCTGCGCACTCACATACACGTTTTTCTTCTCATGCATTGGCCCAGCGACCCAAGCGACCCAAGCGACCCTCTTGTCTAGACGCAGCTCGTCTTGACTAACTACGGGGCTACGGGGCCTCTTTTGGTCCAAGGTTTTTGCAGGGCGCGTGGGCAAACCCGCATCGCTGTGTGTACAACAGGGTGGCAGTTTTGCCCCGTTGGAGCGAATGAGTACGCGGTGTCCGCGTGAAGTGAAGACACTAGTGTTGCGGGATTGCACACACAATCAGGAATTTTGGCAGTTCTCCTGTACCGTCATGAACGAGTACTCGTAGCCGTCCGGGTTCACGTTTGGGAACACGTGCCACTCGAAGTGCTCGGCGGTCCGCTGTCTCCAGGAGGCAGGCGATGCCGGCTTCGACCCCGTCGTCGGCGCCGTCCCCGACGGGCCGCAGCCGTGCAGAAGCTGGTGCACGATCCAGCACGCCGAGCTGGTCGTGATCCACTCCTGCGCGTGCATGCCTGCGGCCATGGATGGGAGTGGGCGGGTCAAGGCACCCCAGATAAGGGATTGTCCATAAAGTGCGTCCGCTTTTCTCAGATTCAATCGGCGAATTACCGGAGCCCGGCGCCTGCGAGACTCGCGGTAGGCCGACCCGCAGTACAGACATGCACTGCAGGCAATATGCTGCCTACCTACCAGGCGCTATGAGAGCTTGCATTGGCATGTCAGTAAACGGCAAATGACGGACGTACTTTCTGGATGTTAATGTTTCTAGATGAAACGTCGACGTGGGAACCGACTGTGCCATCCCTTTTGGACTGTTTACCCGCCTCGATCAAGACGCGGGGCTTGTCCGGGCCGGGGAAGAGACGCAGGCCTCGGATGGGCCTTCCCTCGAAGCTGCGGCCGCCGTCCACGACCTGCGCGGCCGGCGCGTGCGCCGCGGCCAGCCGAGCCAGCCACTCGTTGATCTGGGCGGCGCGGAGGCAGGAGCGACCAGAGTCATGCGGGGCTGCACGGGGGGCGTTCGGACCATGTGTGGGACTCACGTCGTCGATGCGCTGAAACTGCTGAAAGCTGAATGAGTCGTGCTGCTGCTCCGGTCGTCCGGCTTGGTCGCGGTGTTCATCGGCTTCCGCAGACTCCCTGCGAGAGACATTTGGACGGTTGGACGCTCGGTTGAACAGCAATTTTAGAGAGGGGGTGGTGCAAGTTTGACTCACGTCTGGCGACCGGAGGTTTGTGTCGTCGCCATCGTGTCCTAGACAAATTACTCGAAAATTTTGATGGGTTAGGGAAGTAAAAGTCTGTTGGGTGAAGTGTCGAGTTTTAGACAAGGCGGTTGCGACCGGAAGCCGGCAGCTGTTGCGCGGCCATTTGTTTTTGTTTGAAAGTTGTGCTGTTTATCAACAGATCAATATTTTCTTGTCAAATTGTACGGGCATATGTAGAGGAATTGCTACTTCTATTTTCCTGACAGTTTAGAAGCTGCAACGAAATGGCTGATCTGCTCAGTATACTCAGGCAGTATGATGTTAGTAAAAAAGAAATTATTGAAAGAGAACGTCAAATCATCTTTGGAGAGTAACTTGCCTCTTCTGCATCATTTTATGTGTTTGTAGGTTTACTCTCAGTATTATTTCTAGGCTGCAAACATCCCAGCAGTACGCCGTCCAGATTTTAAAGGCCTGTTGGCATTTCTCAATGGAGAAATAGCTACTGCTCCCAGTATTGATGAATCTGCACCTCTTGAGACTCCAACTCAAGTTAAGCGCAGAGCAGAAACAGATAGTGCTGAAACAGTAGCAAAGAAGCCACACTTAGAGGTTACCGACACTATAAAAACAGAACCTGCCTCACCGCCTCTTCCAGCCACAACTGAAAGTCTAGAAGGCACAGAATCAACAGAAAGTTTAAGAAACATATCCTTGGCAGATTTGCTTGATGCAATGCAGACTCAGCAGATGGGCAACACCAACCGAAGGTAATTAATGTGAGACCAGATACTGCAATAAATTGTCAACGTCCATATCGAAGGTATTGTTTGTCTTATTGTTTCAGTTCTGGGCTGCAATTGCTTAAGAATCGCACTACTGTACATGTAACCGTCGGGGAACTTGTAAGGTATGGAGCCAGCCTTTCCAACAGATTCAAACTGCTGCAGTTTCCATTTGCTCACCAATCTGTACTCCATGAGATGGTCAACTTAGTAGCAGCTCAGTTCATTCACAGCATCTTAAATGATGCACCTACATGCCAACAGGTAAGCACACCAGCTAGTGGTTTTTCACATATGCGCTCTCTTTAATATCTAGATTCCTTACCCCTTCAGTATTTTACTTTGAGATGCTGTTTGCCCATTTTTTCTAGTGAAGTTTTCCGAGTTTTCTTTTGATTGGTTTAACAAACATGTTAGATACAAACTGCAATTAATTGATGGAAGCATGACACTATTTATTATGTTATTCATATCATTTGCAGGATGAAAATCCTACTCCTTTTGAGACGCTCACCTTTGAATCCTCAGACCTTTCTGAGTACAAACATTTACATCCCAAGGATGAGGAAGTCTGAAGATCGTATGCACATCGTCTAGAGGGGCATCACTTCCCCCAGACAGTGTACGCCCATGAATTCAGTCATTTTCCATTTTCTGTTGAATCACATTCCAGTTCCAGTCACAGCAAGAACCTTAAAATCTGGATCTTGAATTAAATTTTGACTTTCCTACCATTTTTGGGTACCCTTTTCACCTCTAGTCAATTTGGTTTGACTGTCCAGTCACCAGTCAGCAGCTATACTCATTTGGCAAGTGATGTCCCTCCACTAACTTCTGGCTATGATGTGGTCACAAAATGAGTGGTTGGTGTTCATACAAAATAATACCTGATGGTTATTACAATGTAATTTATTTAAACATCAGACAATTTCAGTAAAGATACAAAGCTGATCAAAGCCTAGATAAATATCACCAGCAAGTTCTGGACATTTTTAAAAATTATTATTTTTTAATAAAATACTTCTTTTACAAAAATTAACAATTGCTAGCTTTTATTAAAGTGACAAGGCACAATAGTTTGGTGGGTAACTTTAAATCCAACTCCAACTCAAAACGCCCGGAAGATAGAATTAGTTAATTTTCCAAAGATTGATACTTTTCATATAACAACAATGAGGGAGTAAGTTAGTGTAGACGTTTTGAACGGGAGCTGTGGTACTTTACTATACCTAAACTACTAAGAAACGAGCATTTATTTTTTACACTCCAACAAAATAAAATACTATTCATTATTTTTATCAGCCAAAGCGCAGCCTCAGCAAAACAGAAACGCTATGTACAATATGTAAGGAAACCGTTCGACTAGGCAATCGATTAGTCAACTGTAAAGGTCAGTTGAGCTAACGAATCATAGGTGCTCCCGCAAGGAACGTTTTTCGGGATGACGCGGGGTGAAAGTTGGGCGACCTACGTTCTCTCGCCGGACGCTACGCCCCTGGGTGGGCGGGCCGCCGGCTCCACGCAGCTGCTCGGCGGGCCGGCCTACCCAGCGCGCAGCAGGCGCCATATTTAGCGTGGCCTCGGAAAACGTTCATTGTGGCGGCACCTTATCGCACCCGACGACCCCTCCCGACGAGGTCACGTCACACCGAAACAAGGACAGAGATCACACTCCAAAGCAAAACATAATTTCACCCCTACATTAAAGATCGACTGACATTATGTATGGGCATCCAGGGAGAAGCAGAGTTTATGACAATGCCGATCGCATTCTTCCACACGCATTCTTCCTCAGTGAGAGCCAGCAAAGGACGAAGTCTCAACGTGCCTCAAGTGTCTCCGAGACCTAGCCGCCCCAAAACGAGTGCTGAGATGGCGGCGAGGAGGGTGGGGAGGATGGCGGGGCCCGCCCTGGGGCCGGCTCCGGGCAGACTGCCGGCCGCGTTCAGCCCCTGCTGGTTGGGCTCGTCCACCGCGTTGCTGTTGACGGCCGAGTCGCTGCCCGCCAGGGTGCTCGGGAACCAGGGGTCAGAGCCGGGGGCGGCCGTCGACACCTGAGAGGATAATGCCGGTGAGCAAAGCAAGCGGTGTAGAGTCTGGAGTGACCAGACCGGCTGGAATACCTACCCTGGAGATGCCGCTGTTGGTTACCCTGTAGCTGTTGGGCATCCAGTCGGCGGGGGCGGGCGCGGGCGTCCTGGCCGCGGGCGTCATGGCAGTGGAGGTGGGCCAGGACATGCCGCGGCCGTAGCTCGACGGCCGGCCGGCCGCGAGCGTGGCCCCGGCCTCCTGCGCCGCCCCCGCCTGCTGTCCGGAGCCGGGGCCCTGGCCGGGGGCGGCCGTCGGCCTGCCGGGCACCGCCTCCACGCGGCCGGGCAGCCACGGGCTGCCCCCGGCCCCCGCCGGCTGCGCCTGCTGCGCGGGCTGCTTGTGCGCCGCGGCCCAGTCCTGCTTCTGCACCTTGTCGGCCGTGGACCCTGTCGCGGACCCTGTCCCGGACCCTGTCCCTGCGGACGGAGACGCGCGTGAGACGAGCACGGCGCCGTCGCCCATCTCGCTGCCGCGCGCCGTCGCCGCGGACTCACCCGAGGCGCCCTCCCTCCCGGACGACGCCCCCGCGCCGACGGCGCCCTGGCCGCCGCCCGAGGCCGCCGCGCCGCTCGAGTCGCCGGGCGCCGGGGTCTTGCCCCTGCGGGCGCTGCCGGCAGCGGGCTTGGGCCGGGGCTCCCAGGGCGACAGCGGCACGGGCGCGGGCCGGGGGTTGACGGCGTTGTTGTCCGGGCTGTTGGGGTCCCTCCCGGACATGTAGGGGTCGCCGCCGGATATCCCCAGACCGGGGCACTCGGGCGAGTTCGGGCTGAAATCACATGGCTACTTCAAATACACGCCTTTTTTTGGAGATGGTGAATATCTATCGATTACGGCGAAAAATTGTCTCTTACACGAAGTTATTGCACTGGTCCCGCAGGAAGCTGAGGGCCTTGTCGAGGATCTGCCGAGCAAAGCGGGAGGCCGAGCCCGAGATGGGCACGCCCGGCCGCGGGCCGTCGCACTGGCGTGCTGTCTGGTCCAGGACGCACTCGCGAAAGCGGTGATGAGAGCTGCAACAGGCATAGAATGTGGGGGCAGGGGTGAGCCATATGCCTAGAGGTGGTACAGGAAAACTAAAAGTTTTCTTTACAAAATTTGTAGCAAACTTTTCGAACTTTTGTTTTTCTAAAATTCTATATTTAGTTCGGGTGACTCACCAGCACAAGCTGACCCGCTCCACCTCTCCGGACACCTGTTCGACGAGGTGGCGGTAGTGGCGCCCGCAGTGGCTGTCCTCGGTGAGGGTGCTCTTGATGCACGTGGCATGCTGGAGGTACTCTGAAAATGGAAGGGGAAATATTTGTCGCGTCGCTTGTCGAAAGCGCCACTCTCGGCGTGTGTACGATTCGCTCACCGTTCTGGTACTGCGGCACGGTGCACATCTGGTACACCGAGTCCACGGGGTTCTCCACCGCCTTGTTGAACTCCTGGCGCCTCGACTCGGTGAAGCAGCGGTCGATGTACCTCTTGACGCACGTCACAAACTGGCTCCACGTCCTGGAGGGGCAGAGGCGCAACAGGCGCCGGGGGTCGTGTAAACGAGTGGCTGTGAGAACCACACCAAACCCTTCCCCATCCCGCAGGAGCGTGCGACTCACCCGCAGACGAAGTCGATGTCGGCCATGTTGTCCGGGAAGATGTACCTCGCGTCCTTGAGCAGGGGGTCGGCCATGTGCACGCAGCGCTGGTACTCGGACCTCACGCACCCGGCGATCATGGTGTTGTCCGCGGCCTGGGCCGGCGCCACTGCAAACACAAGGAGCGTCGTTGTATTCAGGACACGCCACGCGACGGAGGAGCAAGTGACAGTCGTTTGGACATCGATTTCGCATGGATGAGAGGTAGGTGTCTGAAAGGCGCCGGTTACTCCCTTGGTTGTAATCATGGGAGTTACCGCATGGCATGCAGGTGGCGGATGGGTGGGTCCGTTTTCCCCCATGGTGTATTTCAGCTAACGAAGGAAGCTGGATTTGGGCTAAAACGTAAACGCCCCTGACTCTAGCTCCCTGCTGGTAGTTGAGGTAAACGCCCCACTCGAATGACAGCGCCTGCAACGCGTTGGGTAGGCCAACCCGCCGAGCATCTGTGTGAAGACGGCGGCCCGCCCAGAGCGCCCCGGTGGGAGACTAGAGAAGTGGAAGGGTGGGTGG